GTTTTTGAGGATTTCTTCAAAATGTTGATCCTCTTCATCAAGTATTGATTTCCCATCTTTAGTTTTAACTGGTCTCTCTGGAGTGTTGAACTTTTCAGATAACTTTTTGATTGTACTGAATAATTCTCTTGTGTCTCCATGGTACGCTGCCTCTTCTGCTTCACCCTCTTCTGTTTCACTTGCTCATCCTTCTATGTAGTTCTTTTTATCTGTCCTTATACTACGTTTAACTTCTTTATTTGCTTCTGAGTATTCTGTTGATGCTCTGGCCTTTTCGGTTCTGGTGCGGCTATTGTTTAGATTTGACTTCTTCTTTCTCCTATATTGGATTTTTTCCATGGTTTCAGCAGAAATCCATTGTTTATTCGTTTGTTGCCTAGGGCCCAACACTTCTTCACAGGTAGTCGTGAATATCTCTTTGAAGTCTTTCCAATTTTGGTCAGTTGTTTCTTTCTTCCTTGCCTAGTTCTTGTAGGATCTGGAACTTGTTGGAGATAGTAAGTTTAAACTCATTTAGTTTGAATTGTTCTTTGCGCAGATTGGTGTGAAAACGTTGGCGGTGGCTTCCCTCGTTTGTCCGGTAATTTTTTAGTTTCATCCTTAATTTGGCAACCTGTAGATGATGGTCTGAGGCTACATCTGCCCCCCCCCCCTTTTTTACCCTAAAATCTTGGAGAGATCGTCTAATCTTTTCGCAGATGACAGTGACCCGCCCCTGCCAGTGACCCGCCAATGCCAGCGATCCACCCCTGCCAGTGACCCACCCACACCAGCAACCCGCCCATGCCAGTGACCCACCCCTGCCAGTGACCCACTCGAACACTCTGAAAGTTTCACTGGTTGAAACATGTCACGTATATACTGTTGACCTGTTTATTTCTAGCTTTAGGCAGTAGAAATCTTATACTGGGACCTGTGGTATCATCGGGACATCTTGTAATTCTAAAGAAGCTATTCATCATTGCTTCTTAACAAAGCGATTCTCTGGGGGGGAGACCAAGCCTTCTATTATAAGTTTGGGAAAAGTCAAGCGAGGTGTTTTACTTCCTATTTATGTTTTTCAACCAAGTGTGTGGTAGGAGACACCCGCTCCTTTGTGTTACCGAACATGTTCAGGTCGGTGAAGGCAGTTAAGTGAATATCATTCTGTGCGTGTTTTTCTTTAGTAAAAATCGATACATTTAAGTTGTGTGGGAATATTTAAATTGTTTTGATGCGCGCGTAGCTTTGTGCACTGTGTTTATAGCTCCGTTTTTCTATATTATGATAGGACGTACACTAAGTATGTAGTTTGCAACCAAGCAAAACGAAATAAAACTGCAGGGGAAGATAGAAGAAAGAACGAAAATTATTTAATTATTGTAATGAAGTTAGCGTAAGTGAAATAAAATTATTTAGGAGAATGCTGTGATTTTTACCAGTAGCCATAACTTATCATGGTTTTGTAATGTACGCGACGTAATTTTTATAAGATAAGATAAGATAAGATAAGGTGGCGTCCACCCTATCTTATCTTATCTGATACAAGGGGGAGGGAGGGGGTTTAGATTAGTTTACGTCAACAATAATTTTTTTTCTCTATTAAAATTTTTATCTTAAAAATTGACTGGTTATTTTAAACAAAATTTTAAATGTAAATGAGTTTAAATAGTCATATAATTTTTAGGCTTTTAACAATATATGATTTTATAATGTCTGTGAACTGCAGACGGCTGGTCAGAATGTTAGCACGCTTTGTTAGTGCAAGAAGAGTCAAAAGTTGGCCTCTCTTCACCTGTAGATTCTGTTAGTCGCAAACGACTAAGTGCGATCACGTTGAAGGTATGGCACAAGGACGAGTCAAGTGTCACGTGCAGTCAAGATAAATTGTATTGATAGGGTAGGAATAAGATATTTTGAGAATGTGGGGAAAGTAAAGTGAGCAACAATAGTAGCATCGCTGCTTGAACGGATTTGCAAAATCTGTAACATCTATTTTGCATCACAAGTCATGTTGAAAAAGCATGTTCAACAGAACCGACAATGCCGTCTTGAGCAGAAGAAATGAGCACCTGCTCCTCAACCAAAAAGGTTTCAACCAATGCATGTAGCTGCCAGGAGACAGAGAGAGCTTATGGCAACTATTGCTCACATTGACAATGCTTCTATTTTAAGTGCTGAATGATTGGATGAGGATGATGTTGACTTGTCTGGTACATCAGTTTCGTAAGATAAGAATGATAAATCAGCCACTATCGAATATGTTTATCAGAGGCGTTATTTCAGGTTTTTTTCCGGGGGGGGGGGAAACCAAACCTTCGTGTGCTTGTTAAGTTCTTTATTACGGGATGCGCCACAGCACATAGCAATTTAAATAAAAACTACAAATTCAGGGCGTGGGGGGAAATGCCCCCTTTTATATGATAATTCAATTGTTTTGGGGTGGTGGGTTAGAAAATGCCGAGATAATTAAAAAAAAAGGGGGGGGGGTTACTGAAAGTTTGACATTTGTTGACAAGCAGTGTTTGGGGGGTGGGGTGTCAAAAATTTATTTCTTGACATAATCAATGGACAATCCCTAAGATTCTTTTATTGATCCAAACAAAAGGAAATGCTTCATGATTGCTTCTTACGTTTCCAGCACATAAATAAAAACAAATTGAACAAAAGACATTTATTATGAAATATTTCACAAGCAACCCGCCATTCAGTGAGCTCTCTTAGCCATAACAGGGACTTATTAGTCATATTAAGATTTGTGACGCTGGTAAATTCGTACATATTGGGGAACAAAGGAATTTTTATATCGTTCAGTCCTCGCCATGACGGAACTAATTCGTCCGGAACGGCCCGATTCTTAGTATCTGTGATGAAGAGGGTGGGATGTATCATCCAAAATGTGTTTAGTTTTACAATACCATCTTTCTTCAAATAGTTCAAGTGAAGGATGTTTAGTTTGTGTTAAGTTCCTAGCTTTCTTGATTAGTCAGTTTATGCGGTGTTTAATATCAGACGTTGAATTCCCACACCAGCAGGTAATACTGAAATTAAGTAGGCTTCCAATAGTTGCACTGTAGAATAAGTTAACGACTTGCTTGTTTACGCCAGAATTGTACAGTTTTTTGAGGTAGAACAGTCTTTGGTTGAATTTCTTATACATCATTTGGCCGTGCTCATGCCATGTTAGCTTATTATTAATGGTGACACCTAAGTACAAATTAGTACTTATAGTTCACGTGGTGTAGTTTTATAGTGTACATGGTGTAGTTTTATAGTGTACATGGTATACTTTTATAGTGTATATGTTTATTTAAGCTAGGAACGTTTTGTTATTCTTTCACATAAACAGTGCATATAATTTCAAACATACTTAACATTGGACGTTTAACATGAATAAAGTGTACACACACCGATATATGTGTTCTAGTGTACACACTTCGCCATATTTGTACTCGGCAAAATACCAAGACTTTTTAAGTGCCGAAAATAATTGTCAGAATTTTGAAAAATTCATCAAAATTTAAACATCATGCAAAATATTAGATCTTACTTAAATTTCTTTTTTTTTTTATATCTGTAATGGCACGGCAAGCCCCCTATCAAACCCAGCGTCAACCCAACTGGCAACCCCAATGGCAACCCAATGGCAAACGCAGTTACAAACACACTGACAAACCAACTGGCAAACTCACTGACAAAGCCACTTGCAAACCCACTTGAAAACCCACTTAAAAACCCACTTGAAAATCCACTGACAAACCCAGTGGCAAACCCACTGGCAAACCCAGTGGCAAACCCACTGGCAAACCCACTGGCAAACCCACTGACAAACCCACTGGCAAACCCACTGGCAAACCCACTGGCAAACCCACTGACAAACCCATTGACAAACCTACTTGAAAACACACTGACAAACCCATTGACAAACCTACTTGAAAACACACTGACAAACCCATTGACAAACCTACTTGAAAACCCACTGACAAACCCATTGACAAACCTACTTGAAAACCCACTGACCAAACTACTTGAAAACCCACTGACAAACCTACTTGAAAACTCATTTGAAAACCCACTTGAAAAGCCTCTGGCAAACCCACTTGATAACCCAATTCAAAACCCACTGGTAAACCCACTGGCAAACCCACTTGAAAACCCACTGACAAACCCACTGGCGAACCCATTGACAAATCCACTTGAAAACCCAATGACTAACCCACTGACAAACCCACTGGCAAACCCACTGACAAACCCACTGGCAAACTCAGTGGCAAACCCACTGACAAACCCACTGGCAAACCCAGTGGCAAACCCCTGGCAACCCTATTGAAAACGTTTTTATCACGGTATCTTAACCATTTTAATCAAGGCATGACACATTCAAATGAAAGTATCTGGCTAAATGCATTTGTTGTAATATTTACAGATAGCTGGAGGAGAAAATGATGCATTTTATTCACAACATAATTTTCTCAAGTTTGGTTGCCATGGCAATGAGAGCTCCGGCAACAAGAGCGGGCCATACAGCACCTGTCTCGGATAGATCACCGGCAGAGGTCGAAGACGAGATTGCACCCGATGTTTACGAAGAAAATTTCGTGGAGTTTTTCTCTGAGAGCTCAAAGACAGACTTCATGAGTCGAGTTTCCCAAAGAATGAGAGCCCACAGTGGGATGTGCTCGTCGCCGACAAATGGAGTCCAGTTTCATGCAACCACTTTGATTTAGAATGTAAAGGGAATCAAACCCACGCCGATTGTTCCGGCCTAGGGTTGGCTGAGATTCCGTCCCATCTGTCCCCTGACCTCTGTTTACTGGATCTCTCAAACAACAGTCTGACCACCATCCCGGCCCACGCGTTTCAAATGTACCCGAAATTAAAATTTCTTTTCATCAGATTCAACAAAATTGTAAAGTTATCCAATTTTTCATTCGCCACACTGCCTGCCCTCGACACTTTAGATCTGCACGGAAATTGGCTTGAAATGACGTCATCGGCGTTCCCGGCGGATGCGTTCAGCTCATTGGTGTCACTACAGTTACTTAGGATCAACAGGAACAATCCGATCCTTAACAAGACCGGACACGTGTACCCTGACGACGCGCTGTCCAAACTGGTCAGCCTGACGCACCTGTACATGGATGGCATCGAAGTGACCGAGGCCACGCCTTTCGGATCAGGTTTCCTCAGTCTGAAAAAGCTGGGCTACTTATCGCTCTCTGGCTCTAACAATGGCTACTGCTACATGAAACGTCTTTACAACAACACGTTTGAGAACCTCGGACATTTGTACGACCTTGACCTACAGGGTTGTGGGTTACAAGGAGACCTTATCGAGGCAGGCGCATTCAGTCCGCTGACAAATCTGACCACGCTGAGCCTCATATCCAATGACAACATTAATATTGACGGTCTTCCCGCGATATTCTATGGCCTGCGAAACGCCTTGAATTTGCGCCGCTTCCTTTTGAATCAAATCGTTCACAGATACTCTCTAAGCATCTGTCTAGACGGTTCCTACCTTCAACACTTTCCCAAACACTTGAACTACTTCGAAGCGAGAGAGAACAGGCTGGAAGGAATAGACCGACACGTCGTCGATCAACTGTCACCGTCTCTAGAAACGCTGGATATCAGCGGGAATAAATTTGTCTTTGGAACGTATCTCAAGGACATTCATAAAATGAAAAGTCTTAAAAGGGTCATGATCAACAGTGCCACGATTGACTTCCCAATACCGATCGTTTACCCGTCAACTGGACATGATGTTAAGAACTCAACTTGCAATCTGTACGAATATCGCGAAACTGACGTCCAAGATGATACATTTATAATCAGGCTTCCGCCAAAGTTAGAACGAATTCAAATGAATGACGCAGGCTTGAATTATCTCTTCACGAAGATGCACTTTGACCCAGATAACAGTCTCCAAGTACTGAGCCTCAGAGAGAACCACTTCCCATCTCTTTGGGGACCAATTTATGGATTAAATAAGCTGACCTTCCTGGATCTTTCGTTCTGCTTCATAGCTCATATTTCACCAGAGTTTTTTCAAAACATGACATCACTGGAGGTACTGCTCTTACAAGGAAATCCATTGGGGGACTTTTTCGCCGACCCCAGCAGCGCAGGGGTTTTCTCACATCTCACAAATTTAAACACTTTGAATATGTCTTTCAGCAACATCTACCTTCTACCAGAAGCATTATTGTCGCAAATGAAAAATCTTCAAAAGTTGTCCCTGGATCGGAATCGTCTGGAATCCTTCACTTTGTCGATTTCAGCAGCGACTACTTTAGAGTTGCTGAACCTGAGCGACACACACATTTCAACACTTCCATTACAAACGCGTCAGCACATTGACTGGTTGATCAGCCGAAACGTCACAACGAAAATCTACATGGCCGACGCTCCGATTTCGTGCGACTGCCAGAACTATGACTTTATGAACTGGATGGCTCAATCTCCGGCTTTTGCTAGAAACTTCAAAGGCTACACGTGCGTGTTCCCGGACTTCTCCACGATCAATCTGGCCACTGACATTAACGAGACGGTCACTTACCTCAACAGGAAATGCTCGTCACACTCCGTTCTATTTTTTGTCGTGGGCTCGTGCACTGCTGTGGTGTTCGGTCTCATCATCTGCGTCATCGTGTATCGCTTCCGTTGGAATCTGAAGTACTTGTATTACGGGGCTTACGTCCTCTTTCAGGGGAAGAAGCGGGACGCTAGACAACACGAGTTCACTTACGACGCTTTCATTTGCTACGCCGAGGAAGACTTCCGGTTCGTGAGGGACACGCTTCGCGTTGAGCTCGCCGGAAGGGGGCTGAAAATATTCATCCACACGGAAGATTTCACGTCCGGCGAGTTCATCTCGTCCAACATCGTCCGGGCCGTGAACGTGAGCAGGAAGACCGTCGTGGTGCTGACCAAGGAACTCCTGGAGAGCCACTGGTGCTCGTTCGAGGTCGAGATGGCGAGAATGGAGTCGGTGTACACGGGGAGACAAGTGCTGGTGTTCGTCCTCATGGAGGAGATCCCGAAGAGCCGGCTGGGGAGAGAGTTGCTGTACTGTATCAAGAATAACACGTACATGGAGTATCCCGGGGAGAGGGCCAGCACGGCTCAGATGCAAGTGTGGTGGGACAAGCTGGCCAAGGATATTAAAATTTAATGGCTCTAATTTTTTAAAGATGTAAATTCATTTGGTTGATTTTACTTTAAGTAACTTGTCTTGCTAATATAACTAAATCATGGACACGTCTTGATCTGGACACGTCTTGATCTGGACAGTCTTGATCTGGACACGTCTTGATCTGGACAAGTCTTTATCTGGACACGTATCCGTTAAATTTGGTCTTATCCTCGCAGTACCTTTTGTGTGGTTAAATTGGAGAATACAAAAGTGGCTAAAAAGGGCTACCTATATTCATATGCTTGATAATTTTAACTGACTGAATCTAAATTTTGTCCTCTGCCCCCCCCCCCCCCCCCCCACACCAAAATAAAATAAAAAAAAAAAAAAAAAAAAAAAAAAAGTTTTTTTTTTTTTTTTTATTTTTTTTTAAAAATTCAGTTTCGTTCAGAAGTCCATGTCTAAAAAGAAATGACATTCAGCTTATTATTTCATTTTAATTATTTTAAAAATGTGGATACTTAAAAAACAACAACAATAAAATGTAATTTAAAAAAATCAATTGTTTCTTTCTTATTATACTTTCGATTTATTCTTGTAGATAAGCTTTTCTTTATGAAGACATACACTTGGTGGGACCGTCATCGATTTTAAACTGCCATTTATTACTATACTAAGATATACATAAGGTTGTACTGTCATCTATTTTAAACTGCCATTTATTACTATACTGAGATATACATAAGGTTGTACTGTCATCTATTTTAAACTGCCATTTATTACTATACTAAGATATACATAAGGTTGTACTGTCATCTATTTTATGCTGCCATTCACTACTGCATATCGTCTATGAATAGTTAAGATGAAGAAAATCTGCAATGCTGCCATTTTCTACAGCATGCGGTGGATCAAAACAACAAACAATGAATCTGAGCACAGCTTTCAGATTTTGTCCAGAATTTTAATTTTTCCAAGGTTTCTTTTGCTGCTTTTTAAAATCAGGATCTGCTTCCAAAATCACTTAGTCTGAATAAATTCTTTTATTTTAAAATCAGAACATTACTTAGTTGCAACCGAAGAAATTATGTACTTTCATTATTTGCAAAGAACAATGTTAGACGTTCTAGAGGTAAACTGAACGCGCTCTCCCGTCACCCAGTATTGAAAGGGGATAAGAAGCCCCATTGGCTTAGTTACGTCTTGGTGTGATTATTAAAAGAATCCGTATCTGGAAATTTGAGCGAAAGAAATTTCGTCAAAAGTAAATTGATCAACGGTAATTTGATCAAACGGACATTTGGTCGAATCTTTTTTTTTTCCTTCAGTTTTTACGTTAAATTTTGCTTAAATTTTTGTTGAAAGCATTATTTTTGTTTTACTATATGGCATAGTGCGTTGAAAAAGAATTATTTTATAGAGGGCTCTTTAGGATGTTTTCCAAACCATTTACAATTATTATGGAATGTTCTTTAGAGTGTTTCTCAAACCATTTTGTTTATTAAGGAAGACTCTTAAAAATTGTTCTCAAAACGTTTTGCCTTATTATGGAAGGTTCTTAGAATGTTTCTTAAAACGTTTTGAAACATCTTTTTACCTTGAATTATTTGACGGATGTTTTTGGAATAAATTTCTTTGAAGTAAACACCAGTCAGGGCGAGCTGAGATAAACGTTAGTAAAGCAGTGAGATAAACGTTTGTAAAGCAGTGAGATAAACGTATGTAAAGCAGTGAGATAAACGTTTGTAAAGCAGTGAGATAAACGTATGTAAAGCAGTGAGATAAACGTATGTAAAGCAGTGAGATAAACGTTTGTAAAGCAGTGAGATAAACGTTTGTAAAGCAGTGAGATAAACGTTTGTAAAGCAGTGAGATAAACGTATGTAAAGCAGTGAGATAAACGTTTGTAAAGCAGTGAGATAAACGCATGTAAAGCAGTGAGATAAACGTATGTAAAGCAGTGAGATAAACTTATGTAAAGCAGTGAGATAAACGTTTGTAAAGCAGTGAGATAAACGTATGTAAAGCAGTGAGATAAACGTTTGTAAAGCAGTGAGATAAACGTATGTAAAGCAGTGAGATAAACGTTTGTAAAGCAGTGAGATAAACGTTTGTAAAGCAGTGAGATAAACGTTTGTAAAGCAGTGAGATAAACGTATGTAAAGCAGTGAGATAAACGTTTGTAAAGCAGTGAGATAAACGCATGTAAAGCAGTGAGATAAACGTATGTAAAGCAGTGAGATAAACTTATGTAAAGCAGTGAGATAAACGTTTTGAGATAAACGTATGTAAAGCAGTGAGATAAACGTTTGTAAAGCAGTGAGATAAACGTTTGTAAAGCAGTGAGATAAACGTTTGTAAAGCAGTGAGATAAACGTATGTAAAGCAGTGAGATAAACGTATGTAAAGCAGTGAGATAAACGTTTGTAAAGCAGTGAGATAAACGCATGTAAAGCAGTGAGATAAACGTATGTAAAGCAGTGAGATAAACGTTTGTAAAGCAGTGAGATAAACGCATGTAAAGCAGTGAGATAAACGTATGTAAAGCAGTGAGATAAACTTATGTAAAGCAGTGAGATAAACGTTAGTAAAGCAGTGAGATAAACGTTTGTAAAGCAGTGAGATAAACGTTAGTAAAGCAGTGAGATAAACGTATGTAAAGCAGTGAAATAAACGTTTGTAAAGCAGTGAGATAAACGTTAGTAAAGCAGTGAGATAAACGTTTGTAAAGCAGTGGCTTTACATTAGACTTTACGAATTTTAAACAAAAGAATTGAAAGATAAATTTGTAAACACAAATTGTGTGAAAAGAAATATTAATATTATTATAATTTTTGTGACGTAAATAAAGGGTTTAAAAAGGTTTTTCGAGGTGAAATCAAATCTGCTAGCACTTGAATAAAATTTTGAAAGTAACCATTATCTATTTGACTTTGAGTTTGGGGGTTACCTCTCCGTGTTGTGTATGTGCATAGGCTAAGCTATTTATGTCCTGTGTACTGTGTATTTGGTAAAAGTATTACCTTTGCAATCTAAGATGCACCCGGCCGTCTTTAGGCGGTCTGTACTTGATTGGATTGTTATTTTAATATACATAAGCTCGTGGTATTTCTTCACAACAAGGTCCTGAGTAGTGATTTCAATCAACCATCAGCAAAAGCTTTGAATTTTGAACTTTTAAAAAATAGTTGAACATGTACTATCGAGATGTTCCAGTATTAAACAGAAACTCGTCCCTCTCCCCCATAGACAGCGACGAGGCCATGACAGGCAATTCAGGCTCATACCAGCAAGAAGCCAGTATAGGAGCTGCTCATTCCTGCCCAAGACAATCAGGGACTGGAACCATCTTTCAAAAGGAACAGTTGAGGCGACAACACTAGACACATTTGTGTCTATTGCCTTAAGCCTTCAAACCCCTAGTGCATAATTTCCTCATCATCACCAGTAACAGAAACATTGCAAATCCCATCTACATGCATAGGAGCCAAAATGATCAATAAATTGATCGTGGGCCCTTAAGATATAGAAGAAGCATTGAATATTGAACTTTTTGAAATAGTTGAACATGTACGATCGAGATATGAAGGCATTGAATATTGAACTTTTCGAAATAGTTGAGCATGTACGATCGAGATACGAAGGTGTTGAATGCATATTAAAAATCTCAAGCATAACTAGTTTAGTGGAAATAGTTCATGTTCATACCTAATCATGTTTTTGTTCAAAATGATTCTGTCCACTGTAAAAAGCATTCCTAGTAGAGCAAGATCCTAGCTCATACGTCATTGAACGTAAAGGTGGACCGTGTTTTAAACAAAAGTGTCTAAGACCACCTCTGAGAGAGTGGGAAAAAAAGACACCAAGTCACATGGTTCTGGAGAGGTTCCCTGTTCAAGGAAGGAAAAGTTTAATCGACCAGCTAACGAATGCAATTATCGTCTGACAACCACTCACTCCAAAATATCTGGAACCTCGTACAACAGCAGCCAGAAGTTTCCACATTATATCAATCTGGCTCGCATATCTGGATACACCAAGCGTTGTCCGACCTTGGTCAGGAACACAACTACACCGAAATGCACACTCATCCAATTGACGTATTGCTGATGTTCTGTTTGAGGGATGTTCCTAGAAGAATTCAAGGACGAACACAGAACCTTCTAGAAAACATGAGCGTTATGCTAATTAACGAAGAAATCACTGGTCGATCAGCCTTCCTCTTCCATTTATGGACACAATACACATCCATAACGGCAATATTTCGTAAATATAGATAAAACAACTGTGCTACTGGGTGCTATCTTATAAGATTTTTCTTTAATTGTTCTGCCACCTTTTTTATAAAAACAAATCACTTTTCAATCATTAATACACTAAGCAGTGGCGTAGCTTGGGGTGTGGGAGGCTGCGGACCGCACAGGGTGACGCCATCTCAGGGGTGACACCAAATTGAAAAATTGCAAATTTACAGAGAACCGATTTTCATAAAAGAATAACCGATCACACATAAATTTTCCACACATGAAAAAAATCGAAATGCTTGCTTTATTAAGAGTTCAAAGTTGATGCTTCAGAAATGAGGTCAACCTAAAATTAGGTCAGGAAAAACACCCTTTTAACAATGATTCAACGCTGATTAAAGTGGTCGGTAACTTTCGTAAATGACAGGAAGCAATTTTTTTTTTCTAATTTCTGAGAAATAGAAGGAAATAGAAGCCAGAATGATCAATTCATTGATCGTGGGCCCTCAAAATATAAAAGGAGAAGAAGAAATAAAGCTTTCCATTGATACCAAAAACTATGTGGTCGGGTGAATTAAGTATATGAATCGAATCGGTAAAAAAATTAATAAATACAACATGAATTTACCCATGTAGAAAAATAATATTTATAAGAGAATTCTAATATTTTTAAATAGTTAATTAATTTTTTTTTAAAAAGCGTTTTGAAACCAAATATATTGAAACCTAGAAATACTTTAAAATAAATATTTTCGCCGATTTGTCAGTAGCACCACCCTTTAACATTTGAGCACTATTGTCATACAGCACAAGCTCTTTTACGTGCTCTATGTGATTTCACTTTATCTGCCACATTTACCTTTGGGTTGATCTACTTGAGGAAGTTAATCTAACACAGCAGTATCTGCAGAATAAAGGCTTTACTCTTGTCAAAGTGCTGAACAAAGTAGAGGCCTTCAGATTGTTTCTCCTGGAGAAGAGCTGTTACTTGGCGGAACATGCTATTGATAGGACACTTTTAATATCAGAGAAACATGGAATTTCGGTAGAGAGAAGATTAAAGTTTAAGAACAGATTGACAGGAGAACAATTAATAGTTGTGGGCTGTCTCTGCGAGAAGAAAACAGAAGAAAATGCAGGAGTGTTTAATCGCTTTAATTCTGAACCCCCGATCAGATCATCAGCAAACAAGGAAGTAATCGTTTTTTTTTAGGGCTGTTCAACCCAAGAGTCCAGTATCAGCAAGTGAAGAAGAGTTATTATTGTCCATTCCTAAATTAACCTCTTTCTATGATGAGTTATCAGAAGATGAACTTTTAAAAAGAAAAACCAAGGCTTTGAAGACACATAAAGACAGCTGATATTGAATGTTACAAAGTCATGGACTGGTCAGTATTTGATGTCATAGCTGAAGGGGACTTCCTTCAATCTCGTCCAATACTCTCACTAAGCCTTAAATTGTCTTCATACGATCTGTGTATCTATGGCTTCATGTGAGCGGAGCTTTTCAAAACTAAGTCTTATCAAGAACAATTACGGTCCACCATTGGACAAGCAAGGCTTACTGATCTGGCTCACTATCCACTGAAAGTGATACGATGAAGAATATTGATTTTGATCAAGTGATTGACAGGTTTGCAGTTTTGAAGACAAGGAAAGGAACATTTTTAAATAAATTAACTGTAATGAAACAATAACTATAACTTAAACTTGTTACAGTTCTTAAATACATTGACCGCATGACCTTCAATTAATTTGTTTTTCTTCTCGTCATTTTTACACTGTGGACTTTTTTTTAACAAGAAGAAATCCATCGTGGAGGTCAGGGGGAGGGGGGTGACCCATGAGTTTACCGCACTGGTTGACACCAACGCCACTGACATTAAGTACGGGCAAAGATGAAGTTCAGGTATAAAAAGTTGTTCCTTCGCCGAGACACCAATTTGCAACAAAGATATCCAACATATAATCCTTTTCACTTCTTGAAATACGTGACAGCTCGAGTTATGCATCGTTGCCGACGTACGTACACGCTTAAGTACTGTTACTTTTGGTGGGAGTTTGAGTATTGTTAGTATTGGTGGGAGTTTTAGTACTGTTACTTTTGGTGGGAGTTTCAGTACTGTTACTTTTGGCGAGAGTTTCAGTACTGTTAGTATTGGTGGGAGTTTTAGTACTGTTAGTATGGGCGAGAGTTTCAGTACTGTTAGTATTGGTGGGAGTTTGAGTATTGTGACTTTTGGTGCATACGGTATTATAAATATTTAAACTAAACTCTACAAATCTAAGACTTTAAAATGGCTTGGTTTCACATATTACGTTTTTGGATAAATAAGTGACTGCATCTCATGTTAGAGGACGCTGAAAATATTTATAATGATATATGTTTAAAAAGATCTTAAAATAACATTATTTATTTTTTAAGACAGTTTATGTTGAACTGGTTTCGTCCTCTGTCGGGAGTTAACTAGAAAATAAAAGTTTTACCAGAGGATTCGAGCAAAGAATTCAGATGACTCGGAGCTGGAGCTAACGGAGTTCAGAGCAAGCGCAAAGTGGTTTAACTTTTAAAGACGCAAGAATGGTTCCTGAAATCTTCTTTCAGAGTAGGCTGCCTGCTAATGGGACCATAAATTAAATCTTGTTTCAGAGTAGGCTACCTGCTAATGGGACCATAAATTAAATCTTGTTTCAGAGTAGGCTGCCTGCAAATGGGACCATAAATTAAATCTCATTTCAGAGTAGGCTGCCTGCAAATGGGACCATCAATTAAATCTTCTTTCAGAGTAGGCTGCCTGCAAATGGGACCATAAATTAAATCTTCTTTCAGAGTAGGCTGCCTGCAAATGGGACCATAAATTAAATCTTCTTTGAGAGTAGGCTGCCTGCAAATGGGACCATAAATTAAATCTTCTTTGAGAGTAGGCTGCCTGCAAATGGGACCATAAATTAAATCTTGTTTGAGAGTAGGCTGCCTGAAAATGGGACCATAAATTAAATATTCTTTCAGAGTAGGCTGCCCGCAAATGGGACCATAAATTAAATCTTCTTTCAGAGTTGGCTACCTGCTAATGGGGCCAACAATTCTGAACAAAATAAACTGATACATCGAAAAGCTTTTAAAGTTTTGGAAATTTAACCCCAAAAAATTGGCAAGGAAAACGAAAGATAAGATTAAGAAAGACAGGAATGAAATATGGCTTATGAGCGGAGGTATGTGAATAAAATAAGCATGCCATTGTTAGGCCCCCCCTCCCCCCCCCAAAAAAATGCAATAGTAAGAAATAGTACGGTATTTAATCAGGGGCATTTATAATAATTGTTTAAATAAGGTATTCACCTGCTATCACATTATTTAAAATGAAGTTAATGATGCCCTAAATTAAAACCATGAAACCACCCCCCCCCCCCCCAACC